ATATATATATATATATATATATATATATATATATATATATATGCAAAATAATAATATTTATACATCAAATAATCTTGACATTTGTAAAAGTTGAGTTTACTTCGCTACAAGTATAACCAATGTTTACTTTGTAAAATTATTTAATTATTGTCTTTTACGTAAGTAACTGATAGCTTTCTTTTTGCTCGATGGACACAAATCAAATCTTAGTTTTATCACTTTGTTGTGATGGAATTGTGATTCGATTTATAGTCATTTACTTAAATGTTCAACAAAATTGGCATTATTTTTGTAAGAAATCATAACTTTTGATCTTATCAAATTTGTTTTGTTTTTTAAATTCTGTTTTATTACTTTTTAATTGTAAATTTGATTTGTTATCTTTTTTGTTATTTTTGAATGAAATAATATGAATTTGGCATTTTCTGTTAACTGCTTATTATCAGTCATTTACTAACAACTGATGTGTTGTACTAAACCTTCAAGTTTCTATTTTCTACAGTAATATGGTATGATAAATATCTGATCATTAATGCTTGATATTATTCTTATTTTACTTTCTGATTTTCCTATTGAAAGTTTTTTTTTTTAAATTTTTTCTCAAAAAAGCTATTTTCAAAAATATTTTTAATTTTACAAAAAATACTCAAAAATATTTTCTGCATATTAATTTAAAATTTCTTCTTTTTCAAATAAAAATTATTCATTTTTAGATTTCAAATGAACACATTCCAACACCGTCAGTGATTATATACGATGAAAAAACTCGCACTGCTAGTTTTGGTAATGAAGAAGAAGAGAGCAGTGAATTCAAGTTGAAAAGGCGACGTCTGCGACGGGATCAAAAAATACACGGAGATGGGGTCAAACGGTCACAGCTTATAGATGAACGTCGAATTAGAGCAATTAGAGCAAAAAATGACATGAAACAAGCAGTTAAAACGGCTAAAATTGCTGGCAAAGCTATCGAGTACAAAGGACCACTCAATAGGGCAAATATTGTAAATTATTAATTAAATTTAAATTAAAATACAGAAAATTTACTGTAAATAATTACTTGAAATCAAATAAAAATTACTAAATGACAAAAGTGAAATAATTTTAATATCAAATAAAAGTAAAAGAAAAATTTTGCTATTAAAAAATTTGAATAATTTTTTTGATAAATTTTCCAAATCACAAGTTTCAATTTTTATTGTTTTCAAATTAAAATCTAATGTAGTAAATAATTTTATTACATTTTTTGTAATAATTTCAGGACTGTAATAGCGATAATTGTACTCATATTGAATGTGATATCCGACGACTTAATGAGGATGAATTTATTTTGGTAGAAATTTATGCACGTTTAGCTGTTAACACTTTAATTGATAATAATATCTATGAAGCGGATATCTCATCAATTGCTATGGCAAAAATTTCAGCTTTACCTAATGCACCGCGGTATAATCCACCAGCTCAGCTTGTAGCGGTTCGTACTTTTTTTTATTCTTTGAAAATTATAGCAATTATTTGTTCTCAAAATTTATCAAATTTAGGTAATAGAAAATTATATTTTTTTGTGAATTATATATATCATTAATTTTTTCATAAGAAATTAAAGCTGCTACTTGTATTAAATTTTGATTTCTTCCATCTAGTTGTGATTTTTTGAATTATTAATTTGAAAACTTTTAAATTACATTGACCAGAAAATTCGATCTAGCACAATCTATGGATAAAGTGAATAAAAGTTACAGGTAACAACAGATGTAAATCCGACTGATCCAGAACAAGCCCATCGTGGAGTACCATGGTGGTTATATTTAATTGCTATTCTAATTGGACTTGTAATATTGGCGTTACTTATTTTGTGCCTTTGGAGAGTAAGCTATTTTAGCCAAATTATAGTTTATAATGAATAATATTTATTACATTCAAATAGCTGAAGTAAAATTTCTTACTTCAGTTTACTTAAACTCATTTATAAGTAAATGTTCTATTGTTTTTCAAATTTGTATTTTTCCAGTGTGGTTTCTTCAAGCGTAACAGACCACCAACTGAGCAAGCTACATATAATACAGGTAGCAAAAATGCTGACGTATACGCCGATAGTCAAGTTAGATATGCTCATCCACAAATGTATTCTGAAGAACGACACGGTGTTCGAGTCTAATTACTCAAATACTTAAGTAATCGAATTTGAAGTACTCTGATAAGAGTAAGAACTTTATGTTGCCCTTATTTGCACCAACTGAATAGTTTTTGCTCAATAATGTATGCAGTTCTTGCCATCAATGCCAACTTATATTTATGTTAATTTCTTGATTTATTTGAAAAATCAATCTAAAAATTGAGCCTTGAATGTGCTGTAAGTAATCAGTCTAGAAATTAGAAAACTTTTACGTTCATTATTTGAATTTCAATAACGTTCTTTGCATTATAATACATTTTGTGCCTTATGTCACGATTATTATTACATCTATTTATTGAATTAATACTATTATTAATCGCAGCTTCCTTTCTGTAGTATACAAATTCTATTTATTCATTTTTGAATAGCATAAGATTAGTTTTGCATGTAGATAAGATTTTACAAAGTGCCACTGCAATAATTAATTATTCCTTTGTTAAATCTTATCTCTAAAAAATAGAATGCAAAATGTTCTGCGCAAATCTACTAACAAAAATTATGCTAGCCCATTTTTTCATCTTATTACTTGAACTGAATTCATCTTTATCTCCTGAAATCATCAAAATAGTTGAAAAGTTCTATGTTTCATGTGATTATTATTCAATACTTTGTCATTACTACCAAAGAAGAATACTTTTATTCATTAAAATAAATATCTGCTTCATTTCTTGATTTGTATAAAATTATTTTCGCATAGGCAAATATTCTTCGTCCATAATCATTCTCATTGTATCCTTTATCTTTCAACAACAAAATATATGCAGTGCTTAATCTCAAAAAATAGAATTATGAAGTAATTTAAATACGAAAAAGTTTGATTTGAAGTAAAGCCAAATCCTTGTAAAAAAGCTTTTAAAAAATGAAAGGATTGGAAAGCTCAAAATCCAACATTTAATATAAAACTTCGGTCAGTTAACAACCTTTATGTCCAGAATTATATTTGGTGCTATTTGCTTTTAATTTGTATCATTGCTATCTTTATGGTATTTCACAGATTAGCTGAATGTCAATTTCTTCAAATTCCATTTCTCCTTTTTTTTGTTCAAATTATCAATTCAAATGACTTAACACAGTAGGCTTTTGTAGCTCCCTGTATATTAAAAATCTCAAGTATAATATTCAATTATATTGCGTTCCAGAGATAGCTAAATATTCTAAGTAAATTAGATTGCTAACAGTTGCGCAAAAATTTATTGTGTATTAAACTTTAATTGATAAGTATTTTACTTCTGTATACCGACCGTTTTTTTTTGCATAAAAAAGAATTCTAGAAGACTACACGTAGTTAAAAAATCTTTTTGTCGTCTAACAGAATTAAATTTCTTGATCTCTAAGGTAGTAGCAAAAATGGCAACAGATTGTAGAAGTGTGTGTTCACAGACTGGACGTACATCTTACTTAACCACGAGTATTCATGCTTAAAATAATCCTTACTTCCCAATTTTATAATGCTATTTGCATATTTCTACTTCTTTGCCACAACTGTTATGTAAAAGTTAATATTTACCCTAAACGACTACTATTCAATCAACAATGCCAGCTATGCGGCTGGATAAGCTCGATCTTGAAAATTCTATTTCAATTTTATCAAACATTAAGGAGAAACTGGCAGCTTTGAAAAAAGATACCTTTGTACTACCGGAAGGAGAGTATAAAAAATATGATAACAGTCTGGTAATTAATACTAATCACCGTACCTTCACTTCATTCCTGTAGCCAATGCTGTTCTTAGCATTAATTAACTAGCTGTAATGCGCTAATCTTCACAATTAATAAGCCCCTACGCTAATAACTATCCATTGCTAATTCTTTTACAATCATACCAATCGTACTAAGTTTACACTACTTCATTATACAATCTCCACAAAAAATTTCAACTATTACATTTACAGTTCGATGGTATGCAATTCCCACTCACAGTGAATTTGCTTATAGCTGGGAATAAACCAGTCAAAGATCAAAATTCTCCGAGAAGGTTTGCTTTTCAGAGGAAGAAAAATATAATAAGAAAACATGTATAGGCCATGAATACCTAGTCTTGGGCGCCAAGTCATCAGAATACATGTATTTATATTTATAAGACTAAAAAGTGTATCAGAAATTTTCACTAAAATAATTGTGAAGTATCTAATCTATGCTAATGAAATGTAAAGTTACAATACTGAAAGAAATGTGTTGGAATGTAAAATAAGAAAATTTGAATTGTACAACACACATTAATTTCTTTTGCAAAACAACAAAATTCTTTTTTTCAGTAAAAGTGCCCGAACAAAGGACAAAGTTGATGAGCAAAGAGCTGACAAATAATATTATCCTTAAGAAACATCATTTTGTCTTTTATTTCGATTTCAAATACATTTATTTATTTAGTAAGTAATAATACACAAAATTATAGTTGAAAATCAGTCTTGCGCGCCGAGTCATCACAACACAACAAATGTATATTTATAACACGATTTTGTTCTGAGAAATAAATGAGAGAGACGAACATTTCTCTCAACGGTCTAAATAATAAGCAAGCGCAACACATCATACTAACTGTAATTATACCTCAACATTGAGTCCAACTCATTAAAACTGTACCGATAGCACTAAAAGTTCTAATCTGCAATTTTATTCGTTTAGTTACACGCATAACTTTTTGTTACTATTCAATTAATCTTGCACACAACATGCCTGCCTCATCATCACTAGCATAACATAAATCTAACTTTATACATAATACCAGATTAAAATAAATCTGCACAACGGCACAACGAGTGAGTTTTCATGATAAAATAAGAGTGACTCACCAGTTGAAGATGCTTTTCAAGTTAATAATAAGATAACATATTACTGCCCAAGCGAATACCCATTGTTACATTTTTAGTATACCCAAGTTTTCTATTCCCTGCAAGTATAATATTGCAAACTTTTGATTCCACTTAGAATAAAAAGATGATTTTCAAAATTTAAGTTTTACATGAACTAAATTTCACTTTTTAGAATCATTAAACACAGCAATTTTCTCATCTTCCATATAAAGTACACACATCTGAATACTTATATAAGCAAAGTTTTCTGACTAACTAAAGACATTTGAGCAATAACTTTACACGACGAAAAAAAATTAAATTCCAAGCATGAGGGTCTTTTTTAGCATTAAATAAATTTGATGAAAAGATATTTCAAAAAAGAAGTACTTACTTTTTATTATTATGCTGCAACTTTCTTTGCCGAACTATTTCGAATAAAAATTTGAATCTTCTGATACACTGTTCCTTAGTTTTACCGACTACACAATTAGCTACTTTATCCCAACTAAAGGATAAACACAACTCACATTAAAATGCATAAAATACTTTAGCTATTTTTAGATGGCTGGATTTTATAAATGAAAACATAATTAAGTTACTATCTGTTGCTTTATTTCATCTTTATTAACAATTTAATACTGCTCAAACTCTGACATAAAACTCTAACCGATCGACAGTGCCTTTAGGAAATTGTTGCAGTGCTGATTCAAATAATCTTTGGTCAGATTCCGACCAAAAATCTGAGATCTTTCCACAATTATCTTCACATGAAATATTAAAATCAGTTAAATTTACATCAGAGCATTGGTTTGATGGTCTGAGAGTCGTTACGTGCGAAGCACTGCGAGCAAATGCACTTGACTGATCGTCACGAATTAGCTTTGTATACTGATCCTGAGAAAGTTTTGAAAAATAAAAAGTAAAGTTAGAAATATTCACACAAATCTCAGTGATAAAAAAACTAAAAAAAAACTAGAAATAAATCAACAGACTTTATTCATGTGCTTTAGTTTACCAGCCATCGAAGTTACATTTTGTGTTGCCCGATTTAGCACTTTTGCAATCAAATCCCACCTTAAAAATCCAGTAAAGAGAATATCATTTTTAGAAATAATATTGCACAGATTCCATAAAAAATACCAACCTGTTTGGTGTGCCAGCTGGGTACTTATCGGTGCTAAGTCTAATCAATAAAGCTAATTCTTTGCTGCTCCATGCACCACTATGCAAAGCATCTAAAAAACAATAAAATAAAATTTTTAAATAAGATTCAAATTTTATGAAAATGTGATTACATTAAACGGGACTAAAAACTAATATTTAGCTACTCACTGTTAATATAGAGAGTAGTTAAAAAAAGTTTTGTCAAAGTTATGTAAAAGTCGAGACGTAAAGTTCAGAAACTTGTCTCTTTAAAGGAAATTTTTGAAACTGTTACTTTGCGAAATATATTGTTCACCATAGTCTTCATTAGATACGCAGGAAGAGACTGGTTTTACATCAGATGCTACAGCATATTCATAAATAGGTTGCGGTGCTGTGACATAACGACGTGAAGGAAGCTCTTTTTCAATCTCTTTCTTTAATGACTTATATCAAAATAAATGATCAAACTTGAACTGTGATTACAAATGCTTTTAATCATAAAAGAATGCTTGATCAAGATAGCTCAGTTACAATATTTGTGCTTGATAAATGCGGTAGTTTATAAGGTAGCTTGGCTAAAACAGTTCACGATAAAAAGCTGAATCATAGGAAACAACTTACCTCAGATTTTATTTCTTTATGGTAATATGTGTTAATATAACTTTGAATAAAACTCGGCAGGGAAATAGCAATATTGTAGAAAAGTGATGCAATCAACACTGGTAAAGAATTCCGCCAAGACGGACAAATATCGGAAAGCATTTCAGTGATTTCTGCCTCATATAATGTTTCAGCATCATTGCCTGCTTTTTTCATCTGCCGAATATCTTTCTTACGTAATTTTGCGCGATTTGAAGACTAAAAAAATGACGCAGATGATACCAAGCAGTTGATCAGTTTTAAATTTCAGTGATATAAGAATCTGCAAAAATATGCACACATACAGCAAAGAGAATTTGAGAATATGTTGATATAATTTAAGAATGCATTAAATTTGAATGTCAAACATAACTAAATTGAAAACAAATTACCAAAGTCAAATACTTATCAATGTAAGCACCCCATAACATGAAATAATGACCAATTGAAAAAATTACTACCAGCACAACCATGCCCTCAAACCACGATAATTTTTTAGCACGTCTGAAAAAAAAAACGTGATTTGAATATGCTTATTAATTGAAATTACAAGTATTCCAGTGAATACTTGATTAAAATGAGGACAATCCTTTAATATTGCACAGAATTGATAATTTGCAATTTTACAAACCACTACAAGACTTTATTGAAATGACTGCTATTTCAGTAGCTGTAAAGTGAAAAACAACACACCGATAGTAAAATACAGGCTGTTTCCAGTCCGGTAAACCATTTTCTAGAACATGGTCATATTTCTGCCTTAAATTATGGGACTTCAAAACTTCATAAATAGCAGCGATCTAAAATAAATAATTTTTAGCGACTGTGTGAATGTAAAATTATAAGAAAAATAATAAAATATGAAAAGAACCTTACGAAACTGTGTTTCAGCTTCTTTGTTCGAGTTACGATCTGGATGCCATTCCATGCTCAGTCGACGATACGCTTTTTTGATGTCAGAAAGTGACGCATCCTACACTGATAACACTCATTATATAAATAGTAAAATCAAAGCTTGAACGACTAAAACAAATATTTATATTTTTATGAATGCTATCTTTTATTTCTGAGCACGTAAATCAAGCTTTTCATTTTTTGCTGATAGATTTTTTTCAAAATCTTTAAAATTCACAATTATCGTTTGATTTTTACCGCAACAAAAAGTAAAAATACTTTACTGATTTGAAAGTAATCATAATTTTTACCTTCGGAATGGCATAAAACTCATAGAAACTCTGACCAATTTCATCAACTAAATCGTAAATGGCAAGCTCTTCAACAGTCCATGCAGATGCTACAGCACAATTTATCAGTAATAAAACAGCGTGTAAATAACATAACATGACCTGAAATAGAAATCTGCACAAATACCACTACTTATGTTGACATCAATAAATGAAAATAAGAGAATAAGTAAATGAAATTTGAATATAATGCAAATTTTTCAAGTGAAATTCAAAAACTAAGTAAGTAATAGCCAATCTGAAAATTTCAGGAAATAAATTAACTTAAATTATATTCTAGCAAACACAACCGGATGACTACTGCAGAAACAATTGCGTATTAAAAAAGACAATACGACGATTCAATGTAAAAAGAGTTGAAAGAGCGCAAATAAGACGCAAAGTATTAAACATATAACGTTAGCTAAAAGAGCGCAACATTGCTAACATGATAGAAAAAATGCAGTTTTATCAAATATTTTATCAAAACAAGACAGTACGTAAAAGAGGAGAGCACAGAGATTGATAAGAATCAAAAGAACTCACAGTAAAGTACTGAGAAAGTAAATAAATAGCATTGAGTGCTGCAATGGAAGGGATTGCGGAAGAGATAGCACAAGAAAGCATACTGAGGGGAAGAGTGAGGATGGAGCTGAGTTTTAGCTAGTTAATTTCAAAAAGCCTTTATCCGTAGAGATTAACAAGCAGTTAGTTGACTGGCTGTAAGAGATAAAGAGCAGATAAGACGTATTGGAGAAGTAGAACTTGAAGTAATGCCACCAAACTTCACATCACTGTTGGCATACATGTAATGCAGTGTATAAAATTAACGCTTAGTAATCATCAAGACTTATTTGTTAATTAATGGAGAAATATGTATGAAAGTATTGTTGATTTTACTAATTTATTTATTACGCGCGTAAATTTGAAAAAAGTTTTTGTAAAAATCACAAGCAAGTTCCATTCTCCGCTAGCTATTCCGACCTATTCAAATTATTTGTATATTTTCTGTAATAAAGTTTATTAAATAAACCTTTGCTATTATATAGAGAAAATTGTAAATGAAAGATTAATTTTAATTTGGTAATAAAAATTGCTAACGATAATTGAGGAAAGTAGTAAGCAGTAAAATGCTGACAGTATGCACAAACTCTTTACAGAGGTTAGCGGTAAACTCAATTGATGCATGTATGCATGATAAACAGTTTAAATATTCGGTAATTAATTACAATTAACAGTCTAAATATACAGTAATGTATAAAGTAATACATAACATTTACTCTACTTTACTACATTTCCTCCTTGATGTGCATTAAAACCTCATGGATACACTGCAACAAAGTTTTTAAGGCGAATTTTGACTATTATACATAAAGAAAGAATTGTTTAAAATCTGTACATAAATTGACAATTAAAATTTGTCATTGTTAGATACATTTACTTGAAAAACTTCACTACTCAATTTGAATATTTTAAATCCATGACTTTTCTATTAATTTTTTCAGTTATTAAAGTGATGATTACTTACTAAATCTAAAAGTTTACTTTTATACAGTGATTTGAAAATATGTTTATCTAGGATTACGCATTTCCATAGAAAGTGTAAATTACTTAGAAGTACTACAAAGTAATGCTCAAATTCTGCTTAAAAGTGATGGTAAAATAATTCAAACCATTTTGTCATTTACGCAAGTATTCTTTGAAAATAAAACGTAGAACTTTGGTCTACTAATTTGAATACGCCGTAATTTTGACTTACTTTAGATAGTATGAATATCTCGGACTTAATATTTACTCATATAAAACTTTAAATGACTAAAAAAATGAAAGAAATTTTGGCCAAGTCAAGAAAAAGAAATAAATGACTGCTAACAATGCAATAAAGTATTAAACTTTTATGCTATTACTAAAATATACAAAAACAGTACTACCTAATTTTACTGTAATTGATGATATAATAAATAATTATACTTGGTAATTTTAAATAAAATAATGATAAATATGACTGTCATTGATGAAAAATAAACGACAAACACAATCAAAATTTTCTAAATCAAAGCTTGTAAATTAGATCAAGAAGCCATTTACTGATCAATAGCTACCTGCAATTTAGATCAAATTATCTTCATTAGATAGATCAACAGGTACCCAACTTGGCAATACAAAATTTTATCAAATTTACTCTTCAAAATTAACTTAATTATGGGTTTTTGTACTAAGCATCATTGTTGGTTACCTTTAAGTATAAGCTATTTTACAGTGTTTCCGATCAAATAATGCAAATATAATTAAACAGTAAAATAGAATAAAGAATAATCTAGCAAACAGTCAAAAATACTTGTCAAATTAACTTAAAGTTACTTTGAAAAAATTCAAATAACAATGAAAAATTGATAAAAAAATTCACGTTCAAACATTTTAAACATTTACTACGGCTCTATTATTTACTTGCTTTGCTTACATTTATACTCAATGAATAGAGCAATTTCTTATCTATTCATTTCTGCAAGTTTCACGCATTTATTAAGCGTAATTAAAGAGTTACGTGGCTTTTTACAAGTGCTACTTACCAGTTTCATATCTGTATTTTGAAATGGGTACGGCTGAAGAGAAGAGTCCCGGCGTAGTCGTTGAAGTGTTGGCAGACAAATACACGAAGTATTTCAAACTACCATTCAGTCATAGCAATTGCACAGTGTTAAATCGGTTGTTTCTAACTATTTATTGGGTGTTTGTATTTAATTATTTAATTTCTTAGTATTTTAGGCTAATTAGGATATATATTAAAAATAATTCTTCGTTAATAATGTTAATTTTAGATGTTCTCAGTCTTTTACTGATTGTAATTTTAGTAATAGTTTGTTAAGGGAATATTGTACTTCTCATATATTTACCCATCTTTGTTAATTAATTTGAATAATTATGCAATATTATTATTTTGAGTAGTTATGCATTATTATTCTTAAGGTATGAAATTGCAATGTTTTTGTCAGACGTTAAAGCTAAAGCTAGTAGATTTCATATTTTAAGCCTTTAAGGTTCATGCTGGTTACACGTTTATCGATTTCTAGAATTTGATTTCAGAAGCCAAAGATGATTTTAAATTCGGTATTCGAATAGCAAGTCAAGTTCAAAAATTGTTATACCCTTCAACACAGTTGTTTTCATTGAAATAAGAGATAATTATGAGTGAGTCAAATTTAAAGTACTAATTTAGAATCAGTGTCTCTGTATAGGTTTCTGTATGTTTGTAGCTTGTTTGCGGGAAAGAACAGCATAATCAGTTATCGAGCAAGTTTTGAGAATGAGTGGTCTATAAACTCTAGTTTTGTTCTAAATGTTTCCTTTGTTTACTGCATAGAACTAACTGTAGTCGAGGATTCAGCTAAGTAATTTAAATCGTAAGTATTGTAAAGAGCAAAGAAAGGTTTCAAGATGTGATATTGGGTGCTACTATGTGTGTAGTGTTTGTTTGATATATAACCTGCTAAATAATAATTGTCAAGTTTTAGTCCGTACAGTAGTTTCAGTATGAGTATATTATAACTGAAATTTTTAATTGAATTTACCCAATGAATTCAGCGCATTTATTTATTCATTTCAAGTATGTTGATATACGTTAACAATAAATTTAGTTCTAATATGGATATATTATAGTATCGGGTAGTTTCCAAAGCGTATAATTACTAATATTACTACCACTACTACTTATTATGTCAATCATGGAGGAAGTTTCCGCAAATGCTGCTACGAATGATTCAAATCCTGCGCCACATATGAATACTAAACTCATAGGGACGACGCAACCGTCGAAAAAGAAAACGGTGTCAAAAATGGATAAAACTAAGGGACCAAAAGCAGTGCATTCTAGACCGCATCATAATCATCCATCTTATGGTGATATGATTAAAGGCGCCTTATCTGCTGCTAAGGATAGAAAAGGTTCAAGTCGTGCGGCAATCTTGAAGTATATCCTACAAAATTACCAAGTTGGGGAGAATGCTTCAATGGTTAGTAATAACTGTTTTTTGAACGTTTTACTGCTATTACAACGATTTTTATCCATTAGCTTTACTGGCATTACCGATTTTTGTAAATTGTATAGTAAAAGAAAAACAATTATAGGTTAATGCTTATCTGCGAATGGGACTGAAACGTGGCGTAGCGTCTGGCATCTTGACACAGTTAAAAGGAACGGGTGCCAGTGGTTCATTCCGCTTAGCTGATAAAACAGTGAAGAAAACGAAAAAGGTGGTGAAAGCTAAGTCGGTGGTGACAGTTGACGTGAAAAAACCGTCTCCAAAAAAGACTGAAGCCAAAACCACTGTCAAAAAAGTGAGTTTTCTACCTTTAAAATACTCGCTATAAGCTTCATTAGAATCCTGTTCGCCAACCAACTATATTTTGTTGAGCAGTCAATTTTTTGAAATAAAATATATTGAATTTTGGTTGTTTTATGCATACTGTTTTGGAATTAATTTCATTTTTCAGTTAACTACAATTCGGAAAGATTCCAAAACGAAAACTAAACCTAAAAAGAAGGTGAGCAAAACAGATAAAGAAGAAGCAGAAAAGAAAAATAAGAAGATCCCTGTTTCCCCAAAGAAGGCGAAACCAGCATCATCTAAAGCAAAACCAGCAATGAAGAAAAAGACATCGAGCAAGGCTGAAAAAATTGCAGCTTAAGATCGCAACTAACCTCATACTTGATCTCATGTCATTTCTTAGCTATTTGTTTGACAAAAGTAGTCCTTATTTGAAGATTTCACGCGGACTTCGAAATCACTTTTGTGCTTCTGTATATATGTTTGGCGTTTGGGAGTAAGCAACTAATTACTAATAATATTCACATGATTGTAAGGTTGCATGACGAAATTTCCATGGATAGACATAGAATTTTGAGGAAGTACTCATTGTACATTAGCCTTATTACTTCCTTTAAGAAGTCAGAATCTCAGTTAACAATTATATTTAAATAAAGTTGTTACAAGCACATCCCTGAGTCCGGTAATTCTGTTTTGTTGCACATATTTTAAAATTTGCATTTGTTTCCAATATAATAAATAATAGATTTTTTTATTTTTGTATAATTTAGTCTGATTTATGTATTTTTGACTTTGAGTTGATTGGTGTGAAAGCAAAGAAGTTGGTGGTAATGCCTTCAAAAAAGACAGGCCAAATCTAGTGTCGGGAGAGTGAGTTGTCTACCTTTAAAGTATTCGCTATGAATTTGATGAATTCTATGCAGTTATTTAGGAATGTGTGTTTTTGATTTTGAGTGTCTATAATTCTTCATGTGGATTTCAACTGCTTTATCCTGTTTAGATTAGCATTGCTTGTACTATAGTAGTGTCCAACATTAAATTTTTTTTTTATGGTGAAGCTTCGGTGAATTTATAGCATTTTGTAGCAGTGAGATATTGTTTGAATATAATAACATTGCGTGGGATATGTTTGGCTGGACTAGATTTCCGCAGCATGTTTTTAGTTAGATGAATGGTGCTTAGCTAGTATATTTTAGATTTGATTTTTCTTATGTATGGCGGACCAGAATAGTAAGTGATTAATTTCCTTTGTTTTGATATTAATTGTAAAGGGTCAGAGTATGTGATCTTCATCACGATGTGGGATAATTTTTTATGATGCAGGTTAATCTGAATGAAAGGATAAGAATTTATCGTAAGAAATGAATAAGAGCATTGGGAGACGGCAGTAATTAAAGATTTAAGTATTAGTGAGCGTAATTTATACGAAAATGAATTGGGGAGACTTGATAACAAATTTGATAAGGCAAGTAAGGGAAGGGATTGAATCGGATTAGGGAACGGAATTAAGGAACGTTTGCTTCATGTTATTCATGTATGTATATATTCAGTGAGGATGAATTTACAGTGATCAACAGTTGTCTAAACATTACAACAATTATTGCTTTCCTATTACTAATATAATTTGGAGGATATGAGAAATGTACTAAGTCGTACTGACTGAAGATGTAATGCAGGGAAGTGGGAAGAATGATTTTTCATGTCACACTTTACAATCTTCCATCCGAGTGGTCGGCATGCTGCACGCAATTTGTAATCCATTCGACACAAGTAATGCAAACCTTCTACCAGAAGAATGCTCCCAACATATCATTTCTAAAAAATCAAATTTAGACAGGGAAATGGATCATTTGGAAAGTAATACTCGACAACAGAAACTGAGAAAGGTTAAAAAAAGAAAATTGTTTTTGACGAGAATGAACAACAGAAATAAATGATAAGAAATAGAATAAGCAAAGATGTACACAGAACAATTGTAGTTTTTTACCGTAATAATTCGAAGCATATTACTATATCCATTCAACTAATTATTCTAGCCTTTTTCCTTCGTCAGAGCAATGATTCGTGCACATTACCGATAGTAAAAAGCTAACGTAGACGCAGCATTTTTAAATATCATGCATGTAGTCACAGACAACTCAAAAACAAAAGACAATAGTAATAGAGAAAATATTAAACCTGATAAGTGTTGATCTGAAAATCTGAGTAGAAATATTTGGAAATTTAACAGAGCGAAAACTGATAAAATGTAATCATGAATTTTTTGCTAGAGTTCGGTACTTTCAATTGTCAAACTGAAATTTCATGTAATTTGCAGTTAAATTTTATAACATTTATTCTTTGACATTATCAAATTTTTTATATAAATTCTGAATGGCAAGGTACCTTCAATATGAAGATAATCTTTCAAATTGATTCCACATCACAAATTAATGTGACATTTAGTTGTAATTTCAAGGTATTAGCAAAATGCACTTTTCACCAGTAACGGAATTTTCACTGCTCCTATTTTTCATCAAACTTTAACTTATATTGAAGGAAAAATTATGAATACAAGCTCAAATTATAACAAATTAGTAACATGTAAGTAGCTTACATGACCAGCTCATACAGACGTAATAATTATAGCGAGCACTCTAACGCTTTAATAAACAGTAATTATCACTATCAAGAAAGTAGCACAGTGAAAAACAAAACGAAAACTTTATAACTGATAATAGCATTATGCATAAGATATTAGTCATACTAAAATATAACTAAGCCTTTGATATTAGTTTTTTAAATATAACTCAGCGCAGAATATTAAAAATAAAAGCCTGTAGTTATTGGAGTTAAACGCAGTCAATCACAGGAAAAAGAGCTGAAGTAATTTGCTTTCCAAATTGAATATTTTGTCATTTAATTTCTATTTTTCAGTTATATTTATGGCTAAAAAAACTGAAAGATGATATCACGGATATGACCAAATTATTACACATATTTGGATTCGCACAAAATTAAAAAACAATCCATAAGGTAAAAATAATGTAATGGAATTAGATGCTTTATAGTGTACAAGCCATCAATGATGCAAGCAAATAAATAGAAGAGTTTACTTGGACTGCGATGCTTTTGGTTGAGCAGACTGGAATACAGCACTCGAAGACATTAAATTTTGTATGTACTGCCCTAACACTTGATTTTCAGATCGTAATTTCAAACTTTCTTCTTTCACACTGTCAACTCGTTGACTTAAATCTATAAGAACTTAGTAAAATTTGAAGTAATTCTAAAAAGAATATTAATTACTAGACATTAAGTTTCGTAGTTAAGATTTTAATAATATGAATCTTCACACGTAATCAGAAAAATGAGCAAAGCACACTATGAGAGTTACTTTCAAAATTAAGCACAGCAGCTGGTAAATTTTATGTCTTCTTTGAATTATCACGCAATATATTTTATCACTAAAATTAGTGACAAAACAAAACAAAACTGCAACAAAACTCGCCTAGAAGTGAATAAATCTTTATATACTAAAGATACTGAAATTAGATGAATTCTGGCTTTTACCATCTAAAGTGTTTTGGAGTTCGAGAACTTGAGCAATTAGACGAGCTTTTTCCTCCTGATCTTCAGATTCCTCACCAGGCAAAGGTTTTGCTGGTTGAAGAGTTCGAGTTTCAGTATCTATCAAACTTCCTTGAGATTCTGCAAACTAATTTTATCTAATCACAATTCATATCAGTGATCTAATTCCAATGAAGTTTGAAGCTAACAACAGCCGTATTTTTACAAAATTTATTTATACAACAATTTCTTTGCATTAATCTTATGTTTATCGATAAAAATAAATTCAAGCAACTAATATAGTTATTACAGACGTACCATCATCAGCAAGTGGGAAATCATTTGCTTCGTTCGTAACTGACGCAGAAATCATTTACTCTGAGAATATACGAACGTCAACCAAAACTGAAATGAATCATATCAAAAATTACTGAATTATATTTTCATTATCACCAAATTATATCAAAGACTAAATCTTTCGATATAAATGAAAGTACAAAAAGTTACAACCGCAATTCTGATGTAAAATGCAAACAGAGACATATTCGTAAAAAAAGGCGCTTTAAATTCATCAGAATCATTTGTTGGAAATATTAAAAAAAATTATTTTAGAAATAAAACTGCGCATTCCGTTTTTATCAACGATAAGCAAGTATAAATACTAGACATTATTGTGCTGAAAAACACACGTTCTTGAATGTTTCGTTCAAGTAAGACTAACTTATTGTTAGTCTTACTTGAACGAAACTAAGAAATAAAGTGGAAAATTCTTAATAATAACTAACAAACGCATAAGTTTAATACCAAGCAGAAAATAATCAAAAAGTAAGACTAACAATAAGTGGAAAAAAAGAGTAAAAGGTTGATGGAAGTAAAATAGCTCAAATATATAAGACTAGATTAAAGTCTCATACTTGAACTAAGAAAGCTTTTTAGTATAAGTCAATTACAGACTATTTATACTCCCGGAAGTTTAGTAGTTAATGCTTATTGTTCACTGGTATTCACGCTCTGCACTTTTTTTTTTGTTTCCGTTTCTGCGACAAAAAGTTTTCATTACGAATAAATTTTAATTCAAAAATAATTGTCAAAAAACTATAACAGTTCAATTTTGAACTATTTATTTTACACGTAACGATTAACTTTCATAGTTAAGAATAACTTACTAAAATTATTATAGACTGCTTATCGTGATAAGTATTTAAGACCGCAGTTTGACATCTTTATACTCTTTACATAGAACACAAATAAGAACAATGTGAAACACTTAGGACCACACTAATTATTTTACCAAATTTTGATATGTAATTGTCTAATAATACTATCAAATACGTTTTTATAGTCGTAGAAATCTGTAAGACTTTTTAAAAACGCGATGTATAATAAGAATTAGTACATGAAAGATTAGTAAATGTAAATAACTAATTAATAAGTAAACGCTAAAACTGAATTGTATAAATTGATGCAACAACAAATAAAAATGCGATATTTTACGTCAAAATAACAATGAACACAAACTTATCAGAGAAGGATTCCACGTTACAATAAAGTACCCAAGTATATAAGCAACTTTTATCTCACTTTACGTTTAAATTCGTTTACTCTAGAACATATGTTCGTACTATTCAACTACGTTACTTCTAAATATTTGGCCGGGTCATCTTTTCTCATAAACGCGACTTGGCTAAATAAATTCTTGGTATTAAATGACTAAACAAGGAATATAGTTCAGATGTACTAAAGTCACGTAAATCTTACTAACGAATCAGGGTTTACGTTCGTTAAAACCTCGATTTCGTTTGAGCAAAAATTTTCAAAGTTGTAAGGGGCAGAGAATCATTAAAGTCACATTTTAGCGTGGATATTCCTCTTCCTTTTAATCTTGTGTGCAGAATTCCACCTTTTATTTTGACATATTCGTAACTTTTAGTGTGTATTTACAGATATCAGTCTTGAATTAAGTTTATACTGATAGGTGTATTTCACGTGGAGATGATTACTGACATGCAATTAGGAGTGATGGTGAATGCTTTAGGTGTTGCTATGCTAATGCTTGTTATTCTCTTCCATTACTTCTCAGCCAATCGGCACGAGAAGAATTAAAGCAAGTAAATGCTTAATTTTTCTACAAGTTATTAAAATTGTATGAAAAATTATCTTCAATGGTTTTGTTATTGTTAATGGCAGTTCATGAAAGAATATTGCATTAAGTTACGCTACTTTTTTTGCTGAAGTGAAATTACGACATAATTCAGTCCTTTATTATTATTTTTCATTTCACTTGTATCGTAAAAATCTGCATTAATTGTTGTGAGATTATTCAGCTTTCAACAAAATATAATTATTAAAGACTTTAGCACAAAGTTGTGGTACAAAATGACACTTGGTCACATTCAAGTTAATCTTAGCACTTGCATTAAACTGTTTGTAAGTTAAAAAGATTTTTTGTAGTAAATCCTTATTTCAGGTTTTGGTGCATGTATCCATTTGGTTTTGCGATATTTACTGCATGAGCAACATATGAAGTGCCTGCCAAAAATAATCTACCACAGAATCTTTCAACCGTACACGTGCTATATATATAGTAGTATATGTAGCTAAAAAATTATCACATTGATACTACGTTGGTATTTTGTTGTACACATTATATTACGACTATTAGGTCAGTTGATAGGTCAGTATATTCTTCAAAAGTTATTGTTAGATAGAATCAGTAAATCAGTTGAGATAAGTAATATGTCTAAGAACTCTGGGATTGTATTGTAGTATTAAATTTTAGTTTTGCGTCCGATTTGTTGTGTAATATTTACTTTGTTTGTTGTTGTTTCTTCTTTTGAAGTTTAAATAAAATTTAAAAGTTTTCAGTCTTTGTGTTGTGGATATGGAGGATTTATGAAACTCGTCATTAATTATTTGAATATATATTTTAATGGGTAAATCAGTGATATTTTGATATTTTATGATACAAATTTGAAGTTAAAAATATTCTACTCTTTATGTTTTCAGAATTCAGAATTTGTTAAAGCAGTTGTCTGTTTTTATTATAGTTTTTAGAGGAATTTTGTTAGATTTGAACGGGTGCAAATGAGTGCCACGTATATGCGAGTTCCTGATGACTTATCCACTTCAGCTGTACACAATACAATACCTATTGGTACTTTTTCTACTCATCCAAGTGGTCATATTCGAAAATATCCATCCAGTGGTTATGCTACTCCAGGTGCCAGTTCTGTCATCAGTAATGGGTCAGCTTCTTGAATAATGCTTTTATTCTTCACTTTTTTCTTTTTCTTTTAAATCTTCAAAGTTATACAAGCTTTTTTCTTGAGCTCACTACTACACTTATATCATTCGATCAAGATATCAGCTTTTTGTATCCGTGACGAAGATTTATTCGCAAGATAATGCACATCAAAAAAAATTTTAAGTCTTTAGTAATGCATTTGAAAACTAGACATCTCAGTAGAAGCTTTGAACTTTTCATTATTTGCATTATTAATATTTTCAGGTCTGCAGATCGAATAGGATGTTTCACGGCGGTTAGGATGACAGCTTTAGCGAAACTAAATCGTTATTTTCGAAGGCTTGTCCGCTTCCGACAAATGGATTTTGAATTTGCATTATGGCAGATGATATATTTACTAGTGAAACCACAAAAAGTGTATCGAAATTTCATGTATCGAAAAAGTACGTCTCATGCTTTTTTCTTTAATAATTAAGATATTGTATTATATTCTTTTACTTACTTTTTGTCAAAATTTTAACTTCAAAATTCAATCAAAACCAAGGAATTAAATCACAATAGGAACAAAAGATCAGTGGGCACGCGATGATCCAGCTTTTCTTGTACTCCTTTCTGCGGCACTTGCAGTATCAAGCATTTTATTTGCTTGGACTATCCAACTTTCATTTACTGGTTTTATTGCATTTTTCCTTTGGGTGGTTTTCATTGACTGTATCGGTGTTGGAATTATTGTCGCTACTCTCCTATGGTGAAATATTTTTTTGCTAATTTCGAAAGCTGTTTTACCTACTGTATTTTAGTATTTTAAAAAATTGTATTTTAAAGTCACTATAGAGGATACTTCAATTTGATAATGAGTCGAGCAAATTTAATTAATTTATTTTACTTTAATCTCAAATTATAGAATTGTTGTCCTTTCCTTTATTATTAATAATTGTATTTTTCTTAGTTGTTAAAGTGAGAAATATATTTGCCTCAATATGTTGATGATTACGATTCAAAGTTTTAGGTTTGCTTCCAATCGTTTCTTACGAAGAGTCGGAGATCAAGATGTTGAATGGGCTTACTGCTTTGATGTGCATCTTAACGCATTTTTTCCTATGCTTATGCTTCTGCATGTTCTTTTACCACTCACATTTCCACGTAGAGTTTATATATTTAAAAATTATGCTTTAAAGTTACTGTAATTTTTTCTTCCTTAAATTCATTACTAAACTCTATACGAATTGCTTCATGTTTTACGTAGTAATCATAAATTTATTAAAAGTAATGCATTATAGATGTGATTGGTTTCGATGCCTTTTTGCCACGATTATTTGGTAATACGATTTGGTTTGTGGCCGTAGTTTATTACATATACATCACGTTTTTGGGCTATACTGGTGCGTTATTTTAATTATTCATTAACATAAAGCTTTTTGAAAACCTAGTGATTTTCATTTTCAACATTCCCTAAAAAACATAACTGAAATTATCATCTTCATTTAGCTATTATTTTTGATATTTTATCGCTTAAAAAATCTTATAAAATTTGTTTTGAAAATTGAAAAAATTAGTGTTAACATTTGAATAGAAGGTCTCAGAACACAATCATTTATATTTAATAGGATTAAACATTCTTCGTTTTCAGCTCTTCCAATATTAAAAAATACCCATATATTTCTTTATCCTATTACATTTCTGTTCATATTTTATGTGGCAACTGTCACGGCCGGTTGGAATATTTCACAAACAGCGATGGACTTTTACCATATAAGAGCTGAAAATAGGCTGAGAAGAAATTGAAACAGTTTACAATATGTAAATATAAATATGTAATAACTCTTTTCATTGTGTTAACTGGTTATTACGTACAATATTTTTAACTGTTTAAAATTTGAATAATATTAATCAAATGTTTCTTTCAGAAAGCTGGTGAAGTGTGCTCAGAGAGCAGACAATTGATGCTCTGAGTATGCTCTGAATGAAAAATTACTAATGAAAAATTGGTAATTTTTTGATTTTCATCAAAGACTTGTTCTTTGTAAATTCTCACTCAAAAGTTTCATTTTTAGTGTTATTTTCTGAAATTATGCGTGCATTGATAGTTATTTGTCTTTTGTATATTTGTAATAATTGCATGAAATTAGTTCTGAAGCAGAGAATAAAAACTGAATTAATCTATTGAAGATGGTTGGAGACATATTCGTCGTAGTGATAAGCAACTTAAACTAATTCATAATTTAAGTTCACGATGGGCAGCAATGCATGCTAATACCAAAAGCGTGTAATTGGCTTTTCACTTTTATTTCCTGACATTGCTTACTTGCGATCACTAGCTTATGTTATGCCAAATAAGGCAATCACAACATGCACATTATTGTAAGCTAATTTATTTCTGCTAAAGCACATAGATTCCTTGTAAACCCTACTAGTAATGGGATGAAATGCAATAGAAATACGGAATATGTTAATATGTACTACAGAAAGGGTAGTGAGGGAGATGTATTGAATATTTATATATAAATATAGCATAGGTATGCATGAAAGTTTATCTTGTACAAAGAAATGATCAAGCAATGAATGCAAAGTAAGGCCTAATGTATGAATTGCAAAGTTTGACCTCAAGAAGAACTGACGCCTAATGATTGAAGTATTATAAGTAATAGTAAATACGCTTCTTTTTTTAATTTGATTCTTAGCATTTAAAAGCTTATCCAAAAATAATCATTGAATAAATTTGGTTACCAACTAGTGATTGAGTAGAAAATTTCAATGAGGATGCGCGGTCACTGGTGACCGAACGATGACCTCTTGGGATATGACCAGTTGGGAGATTCTTTATTCATTATACATCTCTTGATCTCCATATATTTCGATGACCTTTTCTGGAGATAACTGGCGATTGGTTGGCAACAAAACAGATATGATTTTATTTCATTCATTTAACAATTCATTATATATATATATATATATATGAATTGTAATGAACCAAGTACATTCTTTTGTTCAAAGAGGGATAAAGAATGTAATGCGAGAAAGGGGAAGGAATAATTCAGTACTGATAAGCTTTATATTTAGGTTATTTTCGTGAGGTCAAATGTCAGATGTAATAAAAATTATGCTATTGTTTCGATGCTATTGTTTTATAATAGTCGTTACTTACTACATAATGGGATATTCAATGAAAGGTAAATCAATTAATTTTCCTTTTAAATGGAATCTAATAATTGTAAACAATAAAAATTTTTTACACTAATTCCAAAACTAGATTTGTTGAAACTATTAGAGTAAATTTGTTTACCAAAATGCTTAAAAAATAATGAGCGTACCATCTGCAGGTCATTTCATGACCCCTTGCGATCTGTGCGATTGCTTTACCGTATATGAAGATCGAAGACAACACGTGTGGTTAAAGCCGTATGCAGTCGCTAATTTATATAATATTAGTGAAACAAAATGTCTCGCTGCTTGTCTACAAGAATATTCGGTTTTTTTTTCTTACATTTACGTAATTATCACGTATCACTACAATCGTTAATGATATCAGTGTGATTGTTGTGTTTGATAATACTCATTATATGTATTGATAGTATTATTATAACATTATTTTTATGCATCATTCATAAGTGAGATAATTATACTGAAAAAAGTATTTTAGCGATGCAAAGGAGTTGTTTATGGTGTAATTGGTAATCGTGAAATATTTACTTGCGAATTATATAAACGACTTAATCTCAGTCAACTTATTTACGTACCTTACACAAACGTTTACTTTAAAAAGAGATTGAACTGTACAGTTTCTGGTAAGTATTTAAATATTTATTAAATATTTACGGATTTGATCGAAAACTTAAAGTTTTCAAAAAAAAGAACGATTCAAAATATTTTTTTTGAATATTTGAATTGATCAAACTGAATTGAAGCAGTAAAATTGAATAAGACTAATTTTTATTTATTACAAATAAAAATTTTGATGAAATTACAAGTCTTTGAAAAAACACCTCAAAATAAAAGCAATGCTTGTAATTTTATAAAAAGAAAATTATTAATTTTATTTTTTGTTGCCAAAATTAATTTATAAACTTTTAGATAATAACTTGGAACAATTCAAACAAAACAGTGCTAATTTGGAAAGGAATTATTAGTCAAATGTGTAATATCTTAGAATGTAATATTCGTGAAATTTGCATAATTATTGTCAAAGGAATGAATACAGCTTCATTCGCTTATTTGTGACAGACTAAAATTGCTTGAATTTTACATTAATTAATCGAGAATTTCATTCTGATAAAATTTAAATGTAATTTTGTTGTTAATTATCTTCATTTGTCACTGAATAAGATTCTTCTTGCTCACTGCATCATCGTATAGTATCCCCAGTAACATACGCTAAAACCATTCATTCATTATGTTCATTATTTTTCCATTACAAAAGTGTAAATATGCGAAAATTATCAATACGTACGTGTTACATTTGCAGTGCATTATTGCTTTACGTGTGTTACAAATTTTACATTTTGAAAAATTTACATGATTTTTATAATTTTTGAAGTGAAATAGATGAATGATATGAAATTAGTTCATTATCATAAATCTCTAGCTGACAATTTATCATATATTTATAATATTCATAAGCATTATTTTGTCAGCCCTTATTTTTTTCACGTAGTCATAATAATTTTCAAAACATTCTACTGAGGTTTATTACGTTAATTTACATTAAGTCTTAAAGTATACAAATTGTGTTTAGCTATGTAATAAATACAAATTATTCTGATCTTTTCATTATACTATCATTTTATATATTAATTTTATTTCAGTATTTTTTATTTCATAAATTAAAACGCTAGCAAATTTTACAAAATAAAAACATACTTGAAAATAATAAAAGTCAGTGGAAAGATGACGCGTGCATTCTTGTCTATGACATTAACATCACGTACGTGAAATGACGTCATGACGGACCGTGCGCGTGACTGTAGTCTTCTCACGTGGATTCTAACAGTTGGACTTCGGAGCTTCAAACTCATCCGCCTATGTCGCCTTAAGCTAAATGATTCTTCCTTCAATTACCACACGTATGTTGAAAAGGAACATCTGATATGAAGTGACCTGAATTAATTCACGTCATGCGTGATTAACTCACTGTGCAATCCGTGAAATCGTGATAATTATTATCTTAGGAAGTTTGCTGTCATCATATTACAGTTTGAAGATTGTCTTTAGTATCAAACAGTTTTTTTTGTTATTATCATCATTGCAGCTATTAATGATAACAAAAGAAAGTATTATTTAAAGTATTATATTTTATTGTTTTTAGTAACTTTCTTCAACATCTAAACAAATATTCAAAAATTTAGTTTTTTTAGCTTATTCAGTACGGGAAAAAAATCCAAATCCATAAAAGGAATAAAGATTTTACGTAGAAATCGACGTGGCGTGTTCATAAACGGAAAATATCCCTAAAAATGCTCAATTTCTTAAAAAAAGGCAAAAAAACTGAAACAACTTTTCAAGTATTTATTTCAAATTGCATGTAATTCAAATTTAAAATATAAGTATAGTAATTTGTATGTAATATTACAAAAAAATAGAAATAGGAATAAAAATTTTGTGGGAAAAAGTAATGGTACTATAGAAGTTAATGGTGAAGGTAATAAACAAAATTCATTCTTGAAGCAAACTATTTCAAGTATTCAAGTATTTAAATGATATTATAATGTCTATACTTCCAATCTATACAATGGTTTCCAGAGATTTTTTTTTGCACATTTACTCATTTTTAAGACAAATTTATTGAAAAAAACTATTAACACTAATTATTTTTGCTATTTAAACATTTCACTCACTGATTATAATTTTTGAATTTTATTTTTTACAAATATTTCAATTAAAAATATACATAACTTTAGTGCAATATATGATAAAATTTTGATTAAGTTCCCACTTGAAACCTACCATTTATGATAACCAAATTTAGTACTGGTAGAAATCCGCGGATAATTTGGTGTGCCCAAATCTATACTATTATTAGTTCTTTGCATTAATGACAGTAATGGTGAAGGTGAACGAATCTGATCAGTATTATCATCTCTAACAACAGTTTGAGGAAACATTTCGTGCCTTTGGTGTTCCTTATCAAATTCCTAAAAAATAAAGTACAGTCGTCATTCTGCTATTTGATAAAAATCGATACTAACCTAAACTTACAATTACTATTTCTGTCATAAATAAGCTTACAGTAATAAAAAGTATTAGCAGATAGATTTATTCATGAGAATGTATAAGTGAAGCTATTATAGATACACAAGCTATCTGAAATTTTTCCATTTTAAATATTTTATCAGTATTAATTTACAAACTTACTGCTTCTGAATTCCTACTTCGATCACCGTAATATGAATAATTCACTGCTGCATATTCTAATAAAGCCGCAAATACAAACATAAAACACATTACCTTAAATCAATCAAGCATTAATCCTTATTAATGTAATATAATTATAGTAAATATCTAATAGTAGATTAACTTTTTAACCATTTTACTCTGCAAAATAATATTAAATTATTAAGTATTTATCAATAGTTGATCATTCATCAAGGATTATGGCATCGTAAAAAAGTACAATTAAATTTATTCTAAATATGCCATGTTACGTAACCATATATCTAAATAATAATAATAATATTATTATTAATTAATTACTCAACTAATTAATTAATTATGCTTATGAGAATAAAAATGACAAGAAACTAAAAATATACTGACGAGATAAAGGTCGATGCTTTTGACATAACTAATGCGTGGTAATGATTGCCGTACACCTGTACTGATTGTTGTCATTGTTAGCACAGTTGTGATTCCTATAATAATTCTAACAAATTAAGCAATTAAAAAATTGATAACTTGGCAAAATACTAACAAAAATTTATTGCAAAAGCATACGAATAAATTATGCAAAATTTACTTAAAGATATAAAATTAATAAGCAAAAACCTAAAGCAACACGTGCGGACGTGGCTTCATGATTAATCCAGAAGCTAACCCATGAAAGCATTACAATAAGTATACAAGGCAAATAGGTTTGAAAAACAAAGTAACCAATAGATCGTTTGAAGTGAAGTGCTAATGACAAGCGTTGGTATGAACCTGAAATTAATCAAATCACGTTATTATACAGAATCAAATCTAAGTCACTTCTGTATATTACAGAACTAACTATCAATTCTAGTTGGATGCAACTTTTTCCTCTATTAATCTAATTATTAATCACTAACAGCAAAAAAAGAACACTTTTGAAAATAGAAAATAAATTCTACATGCCCGTGGCAGTTTGAACGATTCGATTCAGTGTTTGATAGCCAAGAATTGTAAACTGTGGCACTTCAGCTTTTTCAATCCCAAGTACAGCATTTGCTTGATTCCAACGCATCAAAACTTCTGATGTCGTGTATCCATCTATCAAATCAATAATTATCCTCAATCCTTTCAAATATATTGGAAAATTAAAAATGTGCCACGTATAAAATGTGAAAATAAACTTTATGAGCATAAATAAAATGTTAGTAGTAGTGATTGAACTTACTGTTTAATTGTTGTTCAATTTTTCAGAAGTTTGAAATTAGCAATTTTTTAAGTCTTCGAATATTTTTTCTCTCTTTGCTAATTTTAGTAAAATTTGAAAATTTTTTCAGTCAAATTTTTTTTACAAAGTCTTACAACTTTCAATTTCCATAGTGCAATTCTGATTATCCAATGGATAATTCCGTAAATCCATATGGCATGCGAGAGTTGTTGTGAATCTGAAAAGAAGCTTAGACCGTGTTAATTTCTGATCTGATAATACTTTTTATTACATATCGCTGTTTCATTAATGTACTTCAAATTGAAATCTTAGTATTGAACTTTGTTTTTTTAATTAATTTAGCTTAAAAAACGGATACAGAATCAACTGTCACGTCATTTTAATCGTTAGCTATTTTAAGTACCAGAATTGCAACGGAAGTAGCATTTTGATAAGAATTAAAGTCGTAAAAGCGTTAAAAAACAAACTTAAATTGTAATATTTGCAAAATTAGACTATACAACAATTAGCGAATGATATTACTTTGGTATAATTCTTATTAACAATTCAGAGACATCTAAATCATTTGAATAAATAATCATTTCAATCTTACCTATAGCTACTTTGTATTTGCTAAGTAAGCTTTTAAGGATTATCATGGTTCTGGAAAGTTTAATCAAATAGCAGTCAAGAATAAGGCTGAGCACATCTCTGCACTTCTAAATAAAATTTTATAATTGAAAGTAAATGAATTTAACTGTTTAAAAGGTCACGACCTCATTCCGTACGTAATGTGGCCGTCGTGTTTGAGCCGAATCATTTTGTTTTGCTCTGTTACGTCATGTAAGAATGATTGCTTATCGTTAGCCAAAAACGTGTCCGGAACCCAAATATGTCTATACCAAAGTTCATGTTTAAAATTTAAAATGTAACAAAAATTGAGTTTTTAAAAAATAATATTGTATTTTTATTTTTAGTAAGATAATTAAAAAAGCAGAAACTTTTTTTCAACAAAATATTTTTTTTAAATTAAAGTTTAATATTTTTTTAAAAGTATTTATTTGAAAAATATTAATATATTATTTGACCTATAAAAAAATAGAATACATAAGATCAAAAAATAAATATCAGTAATCTATTGAAAGGTCAGAATACAATATGTGTACAATATTTAGAAGGATTTTAGTATACAATTTTATTCGCAAATGGTTTTTCAAATTTTTTATTTCAAACTTCACATATTTTAGTTTCAATTCATTTTTTAAGTTAATTTTTTGTTTATTCTAATGATTGCATGAAATAATAATGCTGAGAGAAAAATACTGCGCAAAATCTCCAGGCAGTGTCATATCGCGAATACGGAAATAAGATGGCCAAGAAAGACGCTCATCACGCCAATATTGATGTAAGTATAACGTCAAAGTATAATCCTGAAACCGTGAAAGACTCAGCAAAAACTTTATTTGTTGTAAAATAATTGTTTTAGATTAAAATTACAAAAATTAAAGTCTCACTTACTGATTAAACGTTTAATTTTTAATTTTGCACATGAAAATATTTATTATTTGGATAAGCTTTTTTTTGTTTTTTTTAATTTTCAAGCTTTCTCTGATTTTTTGCAAAAAAGTATTGAAAATAATTAAAAAATTCAACTTCATAAGAAAACAAAACAAGCGATTAGCGTAAAACTTTCACTTATGCAAAAATAATAATTTAAATAGAATTTAATCACTGGAAATTGGTAAATATTATAGTCAATAAAAACTTTGAGGATTTGAAAATATTTTTTATTATTTATTGACGAAAAATTTTATATCTTAAGAAATTTTTTCCCATAATATTTCTGATGAGGTGAAAGGTCAAAGTAATAAATAAAATAGCGACTAACCATATTGACCTCAGAAATTGCATCGATTGAGGCAATAACAATATCTAACGTAAGCAATAAAGCATCACCTGAAAAGGATCTAGTACATAATTAAGGTTAATTAGTCAAGAGATCTAATTAATTAATTTTTAAATACATTAATCTTAATTAGTCAACAAATCCATTTCAAACTAAGCATACATAACATAAAAATACAAAATATAAAGTAACTTTAAAAAAATCAAAATACAAATTAGTAAAATAATAATCAAATAAAGTGATTACACACTCAACTAACTACTAAAGCAATTCCATTCCAAATATTAATATATTATTTTTGTAAAAGTAAAATGCGATTGATACTAATATTAAGCAAACAAACTTAATTAATTTATTATTTTGATAAAAGAGCTAAAAATAAGAACTTTTTTGAATTTGATTTAAGATTCGCAAATAATATATTTTGCTATTTAAATTTGTTGAAACTTTTGATTAGAATGACTTCAAACTTTCTAACATTTTGTAAAAATTTTATGTTTTTTTGCTATTTAAAAAAATTCAATCTTAAATTCTAAAATTTCAAATTATTATTTTTAATTTTTTATTGAGATTTTGTTGTTTGCTAATAAAGTCTACTGCATAAACAAATAAAAGTGATGCAAAATTTGTTTTTCATCGCAAAATTTTGGCATATAAAATTTATAATAAAAATATGCAAAAAAAAAGTTGAAATTAAAAAAAATAAAGTTTAGCATGAAAGTTACATTTTTTTCTTTTTTTGTATTGAAAAATGAGCAAAATAGACTTTGTTAAGTGCGCAAATGAATCATTTTGGGCAATAAATTTTATTATTCTGAGTTGTTTTTTTCACAAAATGAAATATTTTGCAAAATTTTATCAGAATTATTGAAAATATGATCAAAAAAATAATAAACTAGACTGATCTACACTGTGAAGAAAGATAACCTCCAAAACCTGGCCGTAATCGCATGTCATAATTAGTTAACAAGTCAGCTAATAGTGAAGAAGCATTCTCATAAGTCACTGATCCACGTGTAATATTTATATTATTCAGTGGAATACGTGAATTTTTAGCGTTCAAAAGTTGCTCTGTACTATAAAATTATCAAAATTTAGATTATAAAATACCAATATCTGTAGATTAAAAGTAGTAATACAAATATAATTTGAATCACAAATTTGTCAAAACAATTAAAAATAATTGCAACATTTTAAACAATTTTGTTGAAAATAAAAGTACCTAAACGTTCAAATATTTTCAGCAAGGCACTAGCAGTTTAGCTATTTTGCCCCTTTTAAAAACTTTAATTATAAAATAAAATATATTCTAACAAAAATAACTATCAAAATAGATTCTATACAGTAAACTTTAAGTGAACTGTTACAGTTTTTGCCTTGTGTACATTTGAACTCTCTCATAAATTCAGTAGTATTAAATACAAATACTTGCTAGCAATTCTTTGGATATTGAAAAGAGAAGCAAAATTTATTCAAAGTTTAAAATATGAATTATTTGCAATTTTAGCAGAAAATTCAATTAACAATATTTGAAATCGAAATCGAAAATGCTAAAATGGAAATAAAATAAAAGAATGTTTGAACTGAAAAATATCGAAATAATGAAGAAAAATGTAAATTAGAAAAGAACTTACCTAATAGTAAAGAAAATATTTGATATATTGAAAATAACAAATAATAATAAATGTCGCCGAGGAATTATTAACAACCGTTGCATTTGTATCATTTTGAATACTACAAAATTGCGATATGTTTATTTGTTGAATTTGTTGTAAACATTTCACAGTTATTTCTTTTCCTTTGAAAATTAAGTTTTATTTTAATTTCAAATTAAGTTTCGGTTTTCAAGTTCCATTTCTATTTGAGAAAGTTGCGTTTCAAACACGAAGAAGTGTTATACTTTTGTTTCTGCGCATAAAGCTTAATAAGAATGCATATTATGTACTAATAAAATTACAACGATAACACATTTATCTCGAAATGATCAGAAAAAACTTTCATTTATAAACAAAACAAATATTTTTGAATAAATGATTGTATGAAAAAATTTAAGTTATTAAAAAACTTTTGATCACTTTGTAATTAATAGATAATGATTGATTTCCTCAATCATTTTATTTGTTAGTTATAATTACTTAGCAAAGGTTAAAGGTTGAATTAATTTTTAGGATGAACAGCTAAATATGTGTGTGATTTAATGCACAAATTCTGCTAATATCAACTTTTTCAGTTAACAAAGTTTGCACTAACTTTATATCTGAAAGTTTTTGGATATTTCAAAAGGACTTACAACATTGAATCATTTTTTATGCAAACAAATTTTTGATATTTTCTAAGCGCAAATTTACTTTTGCATGAAAATGGATATACTTTAATGCGTAGCAAAAATGCATACTGAACACAAAATTAGCATTTTAGCTAATATTTTCAGCCTAATTACTCAAAATATAATTGTGATAAGTATTTTTGCAAAGCAATAATGATTTGAAAATTTATTTTAGCAATTAACTTATTGCAAATCATTAGAAGAAGACATTCAATAAGAAGGTTGATAATAATTACAGTTATTATCAGAAGTAGAGAAAAATTAGACAGAACAAAAACAAAAAATGCTTTCAAAGTGTGAAACAAAACAAAATAAGAGAACAAATTTAGGATTATTTTATGCTTCAGTAGTACACGTCCGTTTAGTTTAGTAAGTTCACGTTTGTTTAGTTAGTACACGTTCAGAAAATAATGATAATTATTGTATTAATATAACGAAAATTTAAGTCAAAAATTAAAAAAGTAACTTTTTTTACGACAAAAAGCGGTAAATTTTCTTTACCGCAACAGCACAGATACTGTCATCGTAATATATCCTTAAAAGTTATTTTTTATTGTAACTTTCATTACTTTTCTTGTTGCTTTCTTAACTTTATGGCAAAGTTAAACTTTTTGACCTTTCAAAGGTATCTGATTGTTAATCAATTTAAGTAATTATGGGCAATTAATACTGCTTGAATATCAACTTTAAAAAACAAATCCAAAATTAAATTTTAAATTATAATTTAGTTCAATATTAGAGATTTATTTGATATAATCAATAATTTTATGATCTTTAAATTCTGTAATCAAATACTAGTTTTTAATTAGGCGGCAAATTAATTACTGTAAAAAAGCATCCATAAGTAAGAGCGCTAAATTATTAAAAAAATGAGTGCATAGTTGAAAATGGAATATTTGCTCATATATCAGACGAAAATTACGTGAAAATAATTGAAAATGCAAATTTTCGAAAGGATCAAAGAAATATGAGCTAGAAGAGATAGACTTGTATACTTAGCGGGGTTTTGGAAGATTTGGGAGATTTAGCAGATTCCCCAGGAGCATCATTTGCCATTCAAATGATTGTTTTTTTATTTGTCACACAAATTGTCATTCTCGACCTAAACTTCATTTTAGGCCTTGCTCATCACAACTTTAGTTGTTATGTAAACATTACTTTTCTCCATTATCATTTTGTATCAGTCATATTTGTCATACACTTATTTCTTCGAACAATAATTTTGATAATTTTCGATAGCAAATATTAATATCCACTACTTAATGCTTTTATAAGAAGAACATAATCAGTCAAATTTCAGTGGTTACGTGAAATCTAAAGTAAATAAATAAGTAAAAACTACAAGTTTTATTTGCGTATTTTTGTCAAATTATTCATAGAGATAAATTCAAGTCTTGTCTAGAGCAGGAATACAATACCTAAGATATGTATATTACTGTAGATGAGTAACTTTTTGCTACAAAAGTAATAACTTGGATAATTAGCATAATTAGATTTTCTAAGATAGAGATTAGCATTCGAAAATGTAACTGACACAAAAGTGAAATCATTATTCTAAGTAGCAATGTCATATCAAACTGTACAACAGATTAAATAAAATTTTATACTCTTTTATGGTAAGATAATACTATTTAAGTGAAATTATGCAAGTAATTACTTCGGTATCAAAAAGTTACTTACGTTTAATAACAATAAATAAAGTCACTTAGTAAGAAAAATCTTATTTTTGCAATAGTTAGAAAATTATTTAACTAATAATTTTACTTAAAAAGTAGTATTTACTTCAGATTTCACATAAATAAATATATATAATACTTTTTAAGTGAAATTATTAGTTAAATAATAATTTTTCTAACTTTTTTTAAACGTAAATAAATATGTACAATACTTCTTAAGTGAAATGTATTATCTATATGCTCAGATTTTTCTATTAAACTTAAATGATTGTATGTATAATAAAACATATTGCTAAGTTGAGAAAAGATAGAATTTTGACAAATGTTATTATTATTTATTAAGTAGATTGAACTAGCTAGTTAATACTAGCTGAGAGTTAAATTTGAACAGAGAGAACTTGATAAAGGTCAAATAAGATTAGTCTTTCTCAGTGTTGAAAAGAGGTAAATTGAGCAGAAATACAACTGCAAAATATTTGTTCTGAAATTAGTAACAGAAATGCGAAAATTGTGAAGAAAAAAGTAGAAAAGAATGCAAGATTGCAAATATATTCAAAATTGAATGATCGTTCGTTACTTATTCTTAGCAATTTTCTGCTTGCAAACAAAAAAGAGGACAGCGTAGAGTCGGTACTAAAAGTAAGTTAGCAAGTAAGTGAGTAAGTAAGTAAGTACGTACGTACGTACGTAAGACAAAAAGAAAGAATTGTCAGGAAATTGACTTAAATTGGACAGTAAAGCAAAAAGAAAACTTAGTCATATCTTCTTGACAAAGTTTTAGTAAAATACGCCAAGTAAGTACTACTTGTTGATTATTCATTAAATACGTGCATAAATATTAATTGTTTAACTTTTGCAAAATAAATTTTCAATTTAAAAAATTTAAAAAAGAAAAAATTTGTACAAAAAATTTTCTTAGTTAGTAATTAACTTTAGGTTGTAAAGTTTTTAGAGAATGGAAATATTATTTCAGTTCATTAAATAGTTACAAAATTAATGAGCAATTAGTGCATAAATAAATATATCGTGCCTTCTGAATATATATATCCAAATGCTTCTTTGATGCTTACTTTTTCTAAAGATTAATAGGTACGAAAATGATACTTGCATTCAAATTACTGATAATACAGTCATATCTGAAATGATATTTCAGTGAATTACTGTTCAACAAATATGACTACAAGTGTGGCAATTATTTCCATTTTTTGCATCATAACTTTTGGTAGCTGCGAGAATAGACTTGCAAAACAGAACTTATCATACAATACATCTCTGATACATAATATCACACGTCTTCTCGATAGCATTCTTTACAATCAGAATCGACATTTTAGGCCTGTTAATGGGGGTTATTAGTTTTTTTCGCTATTCATAATATATTGCACTCTTAATTCATACTGATAACATTTATAATAATAACAATAACAATAACAATAGCAATAGC